TATTTAAGAGTTCCAGATTGATTAAGGCCTTCCCTTGCTTTGCTTTTGGAAGATTAGTTATATACTTTTCCAAGATTTGGTCAAGGGTGCTTCTACTAATAAATGTATACTCTATTTGGTAGATATTACGGGGGAAAAAAAGGTGGCAGCCAATGAAAACAGTTAAGATCAAAGAAAAAATAAATGATTAGCAGGCCACATCCAATATATTAGTGGGCACCAAGAGCAAATCCAATGTCCAATGTATTAGTGAGCACCAAGAATAAATCCAACGTCCAATATATTATTAGCACCAAGAACAAACCCAATATCTAATATATTAGTAGGCACCAAGAATGAATCCAACATCCAATATATTAGTGGGCAACAAGAATCCAATGTCCAATGTATTAGTGAGCACCAAGAATGAATCCAATGTCCAATATATTAATGGGCACCAAGAATAAATCCAACGTCTAATGTATTAGTAGCAACAAGAATCCAACGTCCAATGTATTAGTGGGCACCAAGAATAAATCCAACGTCCAATATATTAATGGGAACCAAGAATTAATCAAATGTCCAATGTATTATTAGTGGGCACAAAGAACAAACCTAACATCCAATGTATTAGTGGGCACCAAGAACAAACCCAACATCCAATATATTAGTGGGCACCAAAAATGAATCCAACGTTCAATGTATTAGTGGGCACCAAGAACAAACCCAACATCCAATATATTAGTGGGAACCAAGAATGAATCCAATGTCCAATGTATTATTACACCAAGAACAAACCCAACATCCAATATATTAGTGGACACAAGAATGAATTCAATGTCCAATATATTAGTGGGCAACAAGAATTCAACGTCCAATGTATTAGTGGGCACCAAGAATGAATCCAACGTCCAATATATTAGTGGGCACCAAGAACAAACCCAATATCCAATATATTAGTGGGAACCAAGAATGAATCCAACGTCCAATACATTATTACACCAAGAACAAACCCAACGTCCAATATATTAGTGGACACCAAGAATGAATTCAACATCCAATATATTAGTGGGCAACAAGAATTCAACGTCTAATGTATTAGTGGGCACCAAGAATTAATCCAATGTCCAATGTATTAGTGGGCACCAAGAATAAATCCAACGTCCAATGTATTATTAGTGGGCACAACGTCCAATGTATTATTAGTGGGCACAAAGAACAAACCTAACATCCAATATATTAGTGGGCACCAAGAATGAATCCAACGTCTAATATTTTAGTGGGCACCAAGAATTAAGGCAATGTGGAACCAAGAACCAACCAACCAACAAGAAATAAAAAAAAAGTATGCTAGCCATTAAAGGTAAAACAAACCATCATACAAAAAAAAAAAA